TGTTTAGTTCTTTGGCCCATTTTTTGATTGGGTCATTTATTTTTCTGGAATTGAGCTGCAGGAGTTGCTTGTATATTTTTGAGCTTAATCCTTTGTCTGTTGCTTCATTTGCTATTATTTTCTCCCAATCTGAGGGCTGTCTTTTCACCTTGCTTATAGTTTCCTTTGTTGTGCAAAAGCTTTTAAGTTTCATTAGGTCCCATTTGTTTATTTTTGCTTTTATCTCCATTACTCTGGGAGGTGGGTCATAGGGGATCCTGCTGTGATTTATGTCAGAGAGTGTTTTGCCTATGTTTTCCTCTAGGAGTTTTATAGTTTCTGGTCTTCCACTTAGATCTTTAGTCCATTTTGAGTTTATTTTTGTGTATGGTGTTAGAAAGTGTTCTAGTTTCATTCTTTTACAGGCGGCTGACCAGTTTTCTCAGCACCGCTTATAACAGCAGCTTCCTTAGCCTGTCTGCTCCTTAGTTCCCAGTCTTAGATCAAAGTTTCTGGCTCTAGCTTTATAAAGCATCTTCAGAATACCAGGGTGCTCACATCAGCCCCTTCCTAGATTCCTTCTCTATCATTTCCTGTGTTCTTTGTATACACGTCTGTCCTACTGTGTCTTACGCATCTTTGTATCTTCTTTCTTCAATTTTTGTTTTTTCTTTTGTTTTGCTTATAGATAATACATTTGTTGGTTAAATGAAAATATAGTTAGAGGCAAATACAAATTCTCTAATGTTTCAATTGTTACCAAGAAAATGATGGGAGATTGCTAGCTTTGTGAAGATGATTGACTTCCTGTTCTTAGTAGAATGAGTAGTGTATTTACACTTCAAGTACAAATAATTGCTTTAAGCGATTTTGATATGTTTTTGTCTCCAAAAGAACCAAGAGCCCTATTGGGATAGATATAAATCAAAGTGACTCTAGAAAGGCTCAATGAAAAGAGTCATTTTAAGTAGGAGGATAGCCCTAATGATAACTATCAATACCATAAAATTTCCATATATTGAAAACTATGAATAAAACATTCATCTTCACAGTTGCTACTAATGGAGTTAGACTTGTGAAGGAAAAAGTGTTTATGAATGATACCATCTTTCTTTCTTTTTTTGTCCCTTTTATCCCAGTTAACAGGTATACCATACACACACTCTTATACAGCTTGGCTTTTTTTGGTGAGGGGATGAGGGAGAATCATTCCAAGTCAGCTCAAAACAATGCTTATTTCTTTTTAAGAGTTGTATGGGGGCGTGTAAGTTAATAACTGTTGTCTCAATTCTAGTCTCAGCCTTTGGAACCTATAGACCCTTTGGATTCTGCTAGTTCCCTGTTAGGTCTGCTAAGAGAAGACTACTAGAGAGATAGGAAAATTCTCTTGTGCTAGCTTTTCCTCTCTGTGGCTCCTTAACAAGGACCCTTACGTCTGTGGTGGCAGCTGGTTCAGTCTCCTTGTTTCCGCCCCTCTTTTTTTCCGGCCACCTCATTCTGTCCCCTCAGAGGCACCAGCACCAGCACGGCAATAACTCTTTTTCAGCGGTCTGACCAACTCCCACGAAATTTCTCCAGCCAACCTGGAGCTGCACCCCAGAGAGAGAGAGAGAGAGAGAGAGAGAGAGAGAGAGAGAGAGAGAGTGTGTGTGTGTGTAAGTCATTCAGTGTCTGACTCTTTGCGACCCCATGGACTGTAGCTCACCAGACTCCTCTGTCAATAGGATTCTCCAGGCAAGAATTCTGAAGTGAGTTGCCATTCCCTCCTCCAGGGGGATCTTCCTGACCCAGGGATCCAACCCGTGTCTCTCACATTCCAGGCAGATTCTCTACTATCTGAGCCGCCAGGGAAGCCCCGTGCTCCAGTAACCTCAACATTTTCCCTCTCTTCTTCCAGCTTCAGGACGTGAGGCACTTCCTGGAATTACCATGCTCTCTTTCTCTTTTTAGCTTTTTTAAGTTTTCCAATAACCCATAGCTTATATTCAGTTTTCTCTGTTGAAGTGCTCCTGGTAGTTTCTGTTTTCCCTACCAGCCTCTGACAGATACACATAGTATGTACTTGACATCTGCAGAGTCAAAAAGCTAGACGGACCAGAGAAGCCTGCACTGCTGTGTAGACCTGTTGCATGACCTGTTCCTGCTCTGGCCCTGGAGGACCCATAATGTGTGTAACTAACACCCTGCAGATGGACATATAAGTTGCTTCCAACTTTTGTTACTATAAACAATGCAGTAAACAACTTTAAATGAATTGGTTTTTCACATGTGGGTAAGTATATCTGTAAGATACTTTATAAAAGTGGAATTGCTGGGTGAAAAGCATCACCAAGTTGCCTTTTTAGAGGTTGTATTGGTTTAGTTGCTCATAGGCAATAAACAGAAATCTATCTGCATGAGAAACAGAGAAATCAAGAAAGTGAAGAGGGAGCCAGTTGTGACACCCTTATCTTACAGAATGCTACCCATCAGTTAAAATAATTACTTTCTGGCCTAGATTCGAATTATGGACTTCACTTTGAGCCCTTTGGACGGGAGGAAGGCTAAAACATAAGTGGAAGAACTCTGTAAGACACTTGGTATTCCTTCAGTAAGAGGGGTAACACAAAAAGTGTAGGGAGGCGCGTTGCCACAGATTGCTAGCAGGGCTGAGCAAGCCAAGGAGGCGCCATGCTGTCTGTGCCCAGCAGTGGCTCAGTCCCCAGTAAATGCTAGTGTCAACAGGAAGAGTGACACCTAGAGATGTGTGACTATTGTAAGAAGTGACAGTGATGCTGGGCAAATTATATGTGGTAGCTGTAAGCACATGAGAGACACTTCCTGGGGACTCCCCAGAACATATGGGTGAAACTTTGTAGGGTACTGGGTCTGCTGCCTGCAGCAGTGAAGTGTTAAAAGCTGGTAAAATACAAAACTGGCTACAAAACTCTCATTTACTAAGGTTGTCCTTTTTTTCATGTCTATATCTTTGGCTCATAAACTGAAGTAGCTGTGCTGTGTGTGCTGTGCTTAGTCGCTTAGCAACTCTTCCCTTCTCCAGGGGATCTTTCTGACCCAGGAATCAAACCAGGGTCTCCTGCATTGCAGCTGGATTCTTTACCAGCTGAACTACCAGGGAAACCTCAAACTGAAGTAGGATTTTCTTAAAAATAACAAAGTAAAACATTCTTGTTCCCTGGGTCCTTAATAACACATCTCAGCAAACTCAGGTTGTGACTAAGTAATTTTTTTTTTACCCTCTGTTGTTTGGTTTTCTTGTCATTTGTTTTCTGCTCAGCAGAGCCAGATTAGTTACCATTGTCCTTGTTTGGCAGATAGGCTACATTCTACATACATACTGATTTCACCTTAGCATTATGTGGTAACAAAGCTTTGTGTACAATCAGAGCTGTATCTTTCCTATCCTCTAAGATCTGGTCGGCCTTCCTGCAGAGGATTTTTGTTTTATGTTTCACTGCATCTTGTTTGTGCCATTCTTAATTTACACAACAGAGATGCTGTCAACGCCAATTAACATTTATCAAGGGCCCCTTGGATGCATGGCTGTACAGGGACTAATTTAATATTCTCTTTGTTTCAGATATCAGGTGGCTCCTTCAAATGAATTTTTAAGTATCTCAGATGATGAAGAAGAACAGAGACATCAATTAGGATTCAGAAGCCAAGCCTCTGCAGAAAATGCTTAAAGGAGGGCATCAAGGATTAATATTAATATTTGAAAGCTTACAAGGGGGTATCCTTTGCTTCAGTTAACATGTGACAAAAGTAAAATGAGACTGCATTTGTTGTTCCTGGAAGAAGCCTGGCAGCATTCCACTCAGACATCTACCCTTTAACTGTTCCATTTTCTTTACTTATTTTAGTTCTTCTAATCTTCAAGGCTGAGTCTGAATCTTTCTACCTGAACTTTTTTCTATCCATCACTTTTAGGGCTGTCTCCTTCCTCCAATTCCTATGTTGTTAATACCACTTATTTGGCAATTTAGCACATGATACATTGTACTATTACTGACTAAATATATGTTCACTCTCCCCAAGCATATTAGAGAACTATCTGGACAATTTAGTTCTTTTCCGTTGTCAGGGTCAGCATAGCATTCTCTCAAAGGTAGACTCTCAAGAAACATTTACTGATGATGGTGGCAATAATTCATAAAAAACAAGCTTAATTTCATTTTTTAAAAAGGATGAGAGGAGAAACAGAGCTGAGGCTCTGAGAGCTGAGACTGACAACCATCATTAATGAACGTGTCCTAATCTAGGAGCTATATGTACATCTTCTAGGGGAAGGGGTTGTGAGAGGCAGCATCACCGGAAGTCAGCAGTTTGCCTTTCAAGATGCAATTTTAAAAAAAATGGGCTTTGGCCTGCCTAAGCTATATTTATTTTCTGGCCTCTTCCTTTTGATGTGATAGTAACCAGTGTAGCATGGTTGTCCCTGGCAGGAATTGATATTCCAAAGAACAGACCTGAATATTTTCACTTCATAAAAAGAAACATTCGGTTCTGTCATACACGTTGGAATTAAAAACACACCGTCACGTTTATGACGTCAAGAATCGGGGCCCAGCGAGGTCGGTGACTCAACGAACCCTGCAGTTAGCCCATTGTTGCAGAGCGGCCCACAAACCAGACGCCATCAACACCTCCTCAGGACGAAGCTCCCGCGGGGCCCCGCCCACTCTGGGTCCGGGAGCCTCATTGGCCGGCCTTCCGCCCGCCACTTCGACCAGCCCGCGGGATTTGGCTCGGGAGGTGGGCGTTTTCCTTTCCGACACTAATTGGTCGAATCTTAATGACGGCATGGGGTTTTCCGAGCCTCAATTGGTTCTTAGGCTTCAGAATGGGCGGGGAAAGGCAGAGCGACAGGGCTCAAGGAGGGAAACGCGGAGTGCGCCGGCGCGTAGTCGAGGACGCTGGGCAGAAGCTTTTGCTAGGGAACCTACTGTTGTCGCCCCGCCCCCTCGGAGCTTTTTGTCCCGTTAACTGTCGGGGTGGCGGGGGCTCCAGCTCAGGCCGACATGCCGGCGCGCTTCAAGGTGAGGACGGGGTCCCCGGGCCCGAAGCCTGATGGGGGGAATTAGGGCGGGGCGGGTGCGGCGTGCCGGAGCCTCACTGGCTTTCCGGGCCGCGCCCCTCGGCCCGGTAGAACCTGTCAGCTCCTGAGCCTGCCTGTCACTATCCCGGAGGATGTTCATCGCTTCTTACCTAGCCCCGTCTCCGCTCACACTCAGTTCTGAGTTGTGGACTGGAAGAGTTAGATGGTTTGAGATGGATTTATTTGGGGGGGAGGTGCTCAGAGGCGTGTACATAGAGGGCAGTTTGTAATGGGGACTGTGGCGGCTTCAGATTGGGGCACCTGTGGACCACATCACAGCTTAGCATTTAACACCCCTTCCCTTTAAAACTTCAGAGTGCTTTATGTCTTTTAAAGGCTTAAGAAATGGGACCCTGACGAGATTAAAGACAGGGTATAAGAGACACATTATTCATAATCATGCATTTCTTTAAGGTTTGTTGATAGTTCCAGGTAATTGGTAGCTGTCATGGTCAAGCACCCTGCAACATACAGTTGACCACAGTGCTCCACAAGCCCTGCAGTCTTCTTTTATCTTGAGGCTTTGTATTCAGAATGGGAGGGGAATTTGTCTTTTCTCGGTTGACTTTACAAAACTTCACAAGGAACTAGGCATAATATTGCAATATAATATTGTATACTCGATGAGAGCTTCATTAGTTAGGATAATTATAGTGATGAGGACTTAGATTGCCACCCATTTTCAAACAAAAGCTCAAGCTTTTGAATCCAACATCCAGCAAAAGGGTAGCTGCTGTGAGCCTCAGATTCCTAGTAGCATCTGCCTCAAGTGGTTGTGGGGATTAAGGTTATAACACTGAACTGCTTAGTGCAGGGTTGGGTAAATATTAGGAGCTATTATTAAGGAGCTCTTCTGTGTTTAATTAGTCTTAAGTATTTCCACTCTTTTTAGAGGTTCAGAAATGATTTTTACTGATACATACTTTAAAACAACTTTCATCATCTGAGCTGCCATTCTTGCTTCTACTTGAGCTTAGTCTCCGGCTGTTGCCGTGCAGACTAACTCATGTAGAAGCAAGAAAGGAAACCTTACACCACCAGACAATTTTTGGAGGTCTTGTGAGATTAAGCAAGACCAAAAATAAAAAAAGAAAAAAAGAAAAAAGAAAAAACAACAACAACAAAAAAAACAACTTTCATTAATTACATTGTACTTAAATTATACTTTGCATTACAGGGGTTGAGTGAATACCAGAGAAATTTTCTGTGGAAAAAGTCGTATTTGTCAGAGTCTTGTAATTCCTCAGTGGGGAGAAGACACCCGTGGGCTGGACTTAGATCAGATCAATTAGGTAAGTTGAACAATTAGTTGTCATTGTAACTTGAATAAACCTTGGGCAAAATGATTAAAAATCTGTGGTTTCCCAGAGTGTGATAGAGGGAGAGAGAGACAGACTGACTTGATTCAACCTGTTTCCTTAATTTCTCCCTCACTAGAATATAAGATCTCTGAGAACAGAGGTCTGTCTTCACCACCATGTTCTTGCCCAGTACCTGGCATAGGGCTTTGGCACATTCTAAAGCTTATTAAAACTCTTTATTTTTTTTTAAATGAATGGATAAACCTGGGGTTGAATCCACATTTGCTGTGTGACTTTGAACAAATTGGGCCTGTTTCACCAAGTGGGACTTGGGAAGCCCTTTGCACAGGATTGTTGGGAGTGATGAATGTGATGTTCTAGTTAAGGGCTAGGTGCTTCTACACAGATAGTGCTAGGTGCTCCTCCTGTGACCCCTGTGAGAGTGCATATGTATAGGATATAATTTCCTCCAGTCTTAGATGTTCGAAGCCAGGAAAAGACTTGAGAGTGGGGTGCCAAGTCTGGAAACTAGTAAGAAGAGCATATTTCCAGGATTAGGTTTGGAGAACAAAGGGATGAGTGGACTAGAGTGGGTGGTTCTTTTAATATTCCTCTGAATTGTCAGGCTTCTTTGCCCAGAGCCTGGCTTCAAAGCCCAAGTGTCCCTGCATCTTAGGCAGGGTGGTGCTCATAATCCTCTCTAGATGACCAGAGTTCCACAAATTTGAGGCTCTGTTAGATTAAGTATCCCAGCATAAATCTCTCAAATGTAGCTAAGCTAAGCCCATCGAGGGCCTTAAGGGATATTATGACACTGGGGAATTGGTTAACCACGTGACATTTTAGCTTAGATCAGCTACATTTGAAAGGGTGGTGATGAAAGGAGACTGGGAACAGAGCGACTTTGGAGTATGGCACCTTAATGAGAAAGGAACGTCTAGGGGGAGGGGCAGAGTGGGAACTCCAGTTTGTTCAAAGAGGAGGTGGAAAGCTAGCAAGGAACAGCAGCAGTGTTACCTAAAACTGGCTAGACATTCTCTGTGGCTTTTTCCTCCTAGTGTGTGCTGAGAGACAAGGTTGGACCATTTGAGAAGCTTCCCTTTTCATTTTGCTTTTCTTCCACCAGCCCTGCTCTGTTAAAGAGGGAAGTCTAGGGCTGTGGTCTTCAAGTATTTTTTGGTTTCATACCTCCTAAAAGAATTTAGAAAGTCTATCTCTCTCTCCTCACATTTTAAAGTTGATATTTAATTTTTTAAATAAAAAGTGTAATGACTGGTACAATCAAACAAAGGATGTGATTTCTGGCTTATTGTGCATACACAGATATCGTACATGTTTTACATGTATTTTGTCAACTTTGGAGCTGCTAGTTTAGCTCAGTTTATGGTAAATGTTCATCATTTAATTGGTAAAGTCAGTCCTCATTGGAAAACTAATCAGATAAAATTAGAATTATTTTCCATGAGAAAAAAGTCTGACTTTATATTTTGGTTCACATAAATGCATTAATATGCATATATGCGTGTCACATAATGACTCTCTTACACGTGAATTTTAGTTTAAGATAGGTAGATGGAAAAGGCATGGAGCTAGATAAAATAAGGTGTTGTTCCTTTGTTATTTCTCATCTCTGCCTTCTTTGCTTTGCTGTCAAATATTCCCCGTCAGGAGTTGTGCTTTCTTGAATTGTTCCTTTGTTTGTCCTCCCCACCTGTGACAATTTTTTTTTTTTTTTATTCCATAGGGTGGTTGAGAGGCGTGTCTTTCTTTTGTAAAGTGGGCAAAGGGTGATTATGAAAGGAGTGGTGAGAAAGGAAACTACAGATGGCAGATGAAGCCCTTAGGCAGATCAGTGTCAGGAAGTGGCACATACGGAAGTGAGGATCTGGAAAGTGATCCTTTTAAGCTGCTGCTTCTGCACCCCTCATTCGGATGTCTTTATATGCCTCCAGACATATATGCATCCAGTGTGAAGACTGGTCTAAGGGAGACTTGCACCAGTGGAGACTCTGTGTCCGATGGCCAAAACATCCATAATAGAAGCTAAAGAGCTTTGGTTTTAGCTAATGCCAGATTGTCTGTTCACCTTCCCTTCTCGTCTAGTCTTAATCTTTCTTCTCCATCCTACACAGTCGTCTTTCTATTTAAAGAATGGCTCCAAACTAGGGCAGTGTCTCAGTGGCTGTCATTCTGCAGAGCTCCTCTTACCTGGGTAGAAGGTTAAGTTTTTTGGGCATTTGCTTTCCAGAGAGAAATATAGAGAAATAGTATCTTAGCTCTGGTTCAAAGGGTTCATTCTCTTTAACTTCTCAGGAACTCAAGGCGGATATAGAGCCAAGATCCAGCATAATGACATCTCATCCCTTCTCATCTTGGTCTGCACTGCATAAGAGAAGCTTTGTGAAAAGTTCCAAATTTTGACAGTACCAGGGCCCATTGTTCTGCTAAGTAGCACAGGAAAGTAATTAGAAACGGAGGCAACACATTCTGCCTGGCTTGCCAGGTCCATCACGTTGCAATTCTAGTGACTAGTGTTAGGATAACTTGAACATCATGACCCCAATTTAAAATTATGGTCAAACTTTTACTATTTATTTAAAGCAAAATTAGAGATTTTATGTTGAAAAACTGTACTTTTTTTAAAATCCTGTAACTGGAAGGATATTGTGTATCTCAAGTGAATTTTAAATTCCATTTCTTCTCTCATACATGTGATTCAAAGTTGTCTTTGTGGCTTTATGCTTTGGTTTCTGCTAATTTTGCATATTATATTTTGTAGGAATCACAAGAGAGCCAAGTTTTATTTCGAAAAGAAGAGTCCCTCATCATGACCCACAGATTTCAAAATCTCTTGAGTGGAATGGAGCTACCTCAGAGAATGATGTGGTCCTATCACCAGAACCTGAAGCCCCTAGAACACCAGAATCACAGGAGGCAGAACAAACACAAGATGCTAACCAAGAAAGACTTCTTGCAGTAGAAGCCTGCAGGGGTCCCAAGAGAACCAGATCTCACTCTGCAGATTCCAGAAGTGAGGGGGCTTCAGATATTGTAGAAAGTAAGGAGGATGTAAAAACAAACCATGTGCCAGCTAATGAAAATGTGGAGCTGAAACATTCTACCAATCCTCTTTCAGGAAATGTAGATGATAGGGTATGTGTATTCACTATATTTCTTTTCAGAAGCATAGAATTCTCTATAAATTTTATCATCATTTCAGTAATATTACATTTTGTGCTTGATTTTTTTCCTGCTGTTTTCTTGTTCAAAGTCTGTAGAATAGACTATAAGGTGATAGTTGACTTTAGTTGTTATGAATTAGTTCTATTCTTAACAGTTGCCATTTTGTACTGGTTATTTTCAGATATCCCTTCACTGGGAAGACAGTCTGCCTCTGGATTTCATTTATCATATATCAGCACCTGACTCCTAAGGGAGAGATCAAGTTGAGACAGAGAAGGGGAGTAGGCTATTACTTCTGGCAGGGATGGTGAGCTGACTTATACCTAGGCCCTTTTAATTTCTTATTGTATACCAGAGGAGAAAAAACAGAGCTTCAGTTGGCAAAATGCAAAAGAAAGGAGGGGTCTGGCTGCATCTCAAAAGATCTTGCAGTTCTCTCTTATGTCACAGCTGGCCTGTGGAAGGCCCCGCAAGCACATAAGCAGAGGCTACGGGGCCCTGTGCAGACACCTCACTGCCTTCCACAGTTTTCTCCACTCTACTGCTTCCTCCCCATTTCCTGTCCACCACTGACTGGAACCACGGAGAGGCATTTAGAGCTGTTGGAAAACCAGGGGACACAAGGGAATCAAGGGAGGTAACATGTAAGTCTGATGGGCAGGGGAAAGGTGTCCCAAAAGCAAGGTGTGGATGAGGTGATGTGCTGTTGTTTCTTACTAGTAGATCCATTTATGAATAATTGGTAGGAAGGAACTGAGAAATGTTACCTTTTGCTGGGATGCACAATAATTCCTTGACAGTATTAAGAAAGAAATTTTAAAGAGTCACAATTTAAAAGGAGCATTATCGATTGGAAGTTTGTTCTATAACAATGTGGATATGGTTAACAATACTATACTATACACTTAAATTTGTTAGGAGTGTAGATTTTTATATTGTATTTTTTTTTCATCAGAGTTTAAAAGTTTGAATAGACATTTTTAATAACTTTAAATGTTTTGTTTTTTTTTCTTCCCCAGCAGTTGGATAGACTTCTGCGGAAGAAAGCTGGATTGACGGTTGTTCCTTCACATAATGTCTTGAGGAATTCTGAATATCAAAGGCAGTTTGTTTGGAAGACCCCTAAACAACCTACTCCAGCTTTTGCAACCAATCAGGTAGTTTAATGGATGCAATGCATTTTTGAGTGCCATTATCTAATCTAGTGTTGCAGTTTACATAGAAAGAAATTAGCTAGTAGATCTGGAGGTAGGTTCTAGAAAAGTGAAAATGAGAGTTTTGCTAAAATCATCCTATTACTTCTGATTTATAGCAGTAATATTATACTGTCCTAGGCTACTGATGATCATTGTTGCCAGATCCATCACATATACTAAATATGAGACAGGGTAATGAAAACTTGAGGACTGGTAAGTTTTTGCATGCTGTGAATTTTTTTTACTTATAAAAAATTATTAAATTGGTTTTATTCTGAAATGTTGTGTTTCATTGACTAATATATTGCACGTTTTCTGTCTAAGAAAGGCATAACTGCTTTGGGTATTTACTTTAATAAGTAAAAAATAGGTTGAGGTGATGCAGAATGTATAATTTTGTCTTTATATCAAATGAGCAGTGATAGGAATTGTCAATTTATGTTTATAAAATTCAAAAGCTAAAATGGTAACTAGAAGTGATATTAAGTTTCATTGTATTCTCACACAGTTTTAGTATTGGGCTACCATTACTAAAATATACTTTTTTTTTTTTTTTACTACTATAATTCTCTGGAAAGTTCTTAGCTCTTAACTCTCAACTCTCATTTATGTTCTTAACCATATTCCTAGGTTTAAGTAGGAAATACTTCCATTTAGAATATCCCCAAAGGTTCATGGTAGCTTAGTCTTTTCCTTCTCACTCACCTGTGTACTTAATACATCCGCAAGGACTGAGAGGATAATTAGATTCAGAAAGACAATAACATGTTATCTTACACTAAGATAATATTTCCACTGTTACAAATTGTAGCAGATTTAGGGTTACTTGTTATTTAGTTTTTAAAAACCTGAAATATGTGTAACATTTTAGGAACACAGAAGATAACCTAAAGCAATACATTCCCTTTATAAACCTAGTGAATAGAACCAATACTTCTTTTGCTGGCTCACAAGTGTTCTTAGATAGAAAATGTACCTACAAAGTATGACCTGGAAATTATGATTGTTTAGTTTTTATGGAATATAAGCTAGAGGTAATTCAAATCAAAGCCCTATTGACAACTTTTACATATTTCAGTGAAAAGCATTGTGTAGAAATGTTCTTTTTATAGTATCAGAAGTATAAGTCACTAGCAAATGCCTTTACTACTAGCTTTATTGCTTTCATTAGTGAAGATTTCAGAGAACTTTTTGTAAAGAAATACTCTACTGGTTAAAGTGTATCAGCAGTTTCAGGTCTGTGGATTGGAGAGTTGTGTGGCAGAAATTTTTTCCATGCTTGATGGGGAAACTCCTAAAGGAGCTATTCGGTTCTATTTTATCAGACACTTGTTTTCCAAAAGGATGTCTTATATATAAAGGAGTAAGAACAATTTATGGCAGAAAAGTTCTTGAGATTATACTATACTTAAAAAGATACGCTGTTTGGTTGTGAAGTGTAGGTGTATTATTCAGCATTATGAAGCAGTTATACACCTTATTTGAACTCCGTATCTTTTCCATTACTTTCTTTGTAATCAGTGGCAATATACCATAAAACGGAAACCATATCATGGAATAATAAGGATAAAAGGAAACATTTATAAATAGAAACATAATTACTTGATTTTTTTTCCTTGACTCAGGCTAAAAGTAAGTAAGCAAAGGAAAAAAAATGAGCAAATGCATGTCAGATATTGAAAATGTTAAGAATATTTTATTGTTGCAGGAAGAAAAAAGTTGATGTCGAGGAAAAAACTTGTAGAGCTGACAAAGTTGCCTTGTAAAGCTAATGTGTATTTTCATGTGATTAAAATCTGCCTATTTTACTTATCCTATTGCCAAACTAATGGAGTGGTAGGGAACTTTGGGGAGAAAAGATATGATTCATTATTTCTTTTGACTTAAGTATTATTTTGATTTAATAACTATTACTCAGAACATAGTAATGAGCATCAAAAGTTGACCTTTGGATTTTCCTTCCAGCTTTATTGAGGTATAATTGACAAAAATTATGTAATTTTGATGTACAACATAAAATTTTGATATATGCATTCATTCTGAAATGATTACTGCAGTCAAGCAAATTAGCACATATGTTGCTAACGTACAACAATGAATGTACAACACTTAAGAATACTTGTGATCTACCCTCTTAGCAAATTTTAAGTATACAGTACAGTATTACTGAATTCTTCCCTGGTGGCTCAGGTGGTTGAGTCTGCCTGCAATGCAGGAGACCTAGATTTGATCCCTGGGTTGGGAAGATCCGCCGGAGAAGGGAATGGCTACCCACTCCAGTACTCCTGCCTGGAGAATTCCATGGACAGAGGAGTCTGGTGTGCCACAGTCTATGGGATCGCAAAGAGTTGGGCACGACTGAGCGACTAACACTTTCACTTTTTTCACAGCATTTTAACTGTTGTCATACTATACTTTAGCTCTCCATAACTTATTTATCCTGCATAGAGGAAACTTTGTACTCTTTAACCAACATATATCCATTTACCCCATCTTCTAGTCCCTGGCAACCACTATTCTATGAATTCTTTTAGATTCCACATATAAGTGGGATCACACCATGTTGTATTTTTGTCTTTCTGTGCCTGGCTTATTTCACTTAACATTAGGTTCTCCAGGTTCATCCATGTTGTAGCAAATGAAAGGATTTGCTTTTTAAATGCCAAATAATATTCCATTTTCTTTATCCATTCATCTGTCCATGGACACTTAGATTGATTCCGTATCTTGGCTATTGTGAATACTATAATGAGCATGGCAGTGTAGATTATCTAGAGATACTGATTTCATTTCCCTTGGATATATACCTGGAATAGGGTTGCTGGATCATATGATAATTCTATTTTATATTTTTTGAGGACCCTTCATTACTGCTTTCCATATGAATTTACATTCCCACAAATAGTGTACAGAGGTTCCCTTTTCTCTACATCCTCGCCAACATTTGTTATCTTTTATATTTTGTTAATGCCCATTCTAACGTATGTGAGGTAAAGTCTCATTGATGTTGATTTGCTCCTTGATGATTAGTGGTGTGTTCATGTACCTGTTGACCGACCGTTTATGTTTTCTTTGGAAAAAAGTTCTTTTGCCTATTTTTAATCAGCTTTTTTTTTCCTATTCAGTTTTATGAGTTCTTTATTATTTTGAATATTAACTCTTTATCATATATGATTTGCAAAATTTCCCATTCCATAGGTTATGTTTCAGTTTTGTTGATGGTTTCCCTTCTTGTATGAAATGTTTTGGTTTGATGTAGTCCCACTTGTTTATGATTGCTTTTGTTGCCTTTGTTTTTGGTGTCAAATCCAAAAAAGACCCATGTCAAGGAGCTTAGCCTATGTTTTCTTTTAGGAGTTTTATGGTTTCAGGGCTTACATTCAAATCTGTAATCCATTTTGATTTAATTTGTATATGTGGCATAAGATAGTGGTCTAGATTCATTCTTTTGCATGTGGCTATCCAGTTTTCTTAGCAGCATTTATTGAAGAAACCCTTTCCCCATTTTACATTCTTGACTTCTCTGTCATAAATTAATTGACTGTATATGTGTGGGCTTGTTCCTGGACTCATTCTCTTCCATTGACCTATGAGTCTGTTTTTATGCCTCTTTGCCCATTTTTTAATCAGGTTGTTTGTTGCTGTTGAGTTGAGTTCCTTGAGTTCTTTAAGTATTTTAGAAATTGATCCCTTACGAGATGTATGCAGGTATTTTCTTGTACTCAGTAGTTTGTCTTTTCACTCTGTTGATTGTTTTCTGTACAGAAGTTTTTTTTTAATTGACAACAATCCCATTTGCCTATTTTTGCTTTTGTTGCAATGGCTATTAATTAGCCATGTGAAATGAAATTATAGTCATATATAATTTTCCCTTTTTTGTATCCTGATGATTCAACTTTATATGTGAAATGCTTTAAGCAATTGAAGTTCTAAGTTCTATATATTTAACAAAAAAAAACTAAACTAAAGTAATTTTTGTTTTAAGGTTTTCCACAATAAAAGCAAATTTGTTCCACAATTCAAAGGTAACTCAGTCATCCATGAAACTGAATACAAAAGAAATTTTAAGGGCTTATCCCCAGTGAAAGAACCAAAATTAAGAAGTCATTTGAAGGAAAACGGAAATTTTGAAACAATATCTCCTGAAAAGAAGGTATTTGTCAATTCTTTAAACAAAAGAAAATTCTCATGATTTGAAACTCTACACATCTTCTTTTACTTATGACCATTTGCAACTTTATAAGTTTTCTTTTACTTATCACCACTTGAGATTTTTGTTTTTAGCTAGTTCATTAATTTGTTTGTTCACTTAATGTGAAATGTTCATTGAACCCTTGGTGGTAGGTTCTGAGAATACAAGGATAACCACACCAAGCCTGAAGCAGCTCTTGAGCCACGAGCTCTTGTTGCATGGGGTAGACAGAGATGTAAATAATTAGGTATAATACAGTGCAATGAATGCTTAATAATATAGCAGGCACGTCTGCTATGCCTAATATCAAATGATTGGCCTTACAGTAATGTGAACTTCAGGGGTTACAGTGGTCATAGAAACACATACTTTAAATTAAATAATGGAAATTAAGGCAGAAATAGACATACACACATGTTATTTATTATAGCCGGTATAATTCACATGACTTACCTCAGTACAAACACCTACTTCTGTAAAAAAATTACAGCTGTTTAAGTTGCATCATCAGATTAAAACTATCGTAAATTATAGGTGAATCAGGCATAGGTCCTATCTTTAAATCTCCTGGAATGTCATACCTATTTTATGGATTCTAAGAGTGAAAACTATATGACTGAAAGTATAATGATTTTTATATATATAATAAATACATTATAGTTATATATGTATTATAAAAATCATACATATATATAATGTATGTGTATAATAATGTGTAATACTTTTTTATTTGGACTTACAATATTCTTAAAGAGAAAAAGAATTGTTAAGTTATTCAGTAAAGCAATGTGCTAACTTACTTTTTGGGACCTTTCATTTAATTATTCTAACAATTAAGTATAGATTTAGAATATCAAGGGAAAATGTAAGACCAATGTTCAAAAGGTAGTTGAACATCTAAATAAGTAAACTTGATATAATTAAAACATTTTTCCTAGCCAAGTATGTAAAATTTTTGTTAGAAAATGAAACCATATCCTGAGCTATATACTTCAAGAAACTAACCAGACATACTAGTTTCAAAACCTGCTTGTTGACTTATGATTTCTGCATTATCTTAGTAGTAAAAGCTTAGCTTTAAAAACAGTTATAATTCAGTATCCAAGTATACTTTATGACATCTGTATTTTCACTTTAATGTATGACATAAATGGAGCATGAAAAGTTCAAATGATTTTCATTTTAGTGTAATAAAACAGATGATCCTTTAAAATCAGAAGCAGAGATGGAACCAAAAGACTCAAACCAGCCTAAAAAGAAGCTTACTCCTTGGAGACATCAAAGGCTTGGGTATGTATTTTGTAATAAATATCATAGTATTTAGCTTGATCAGCATGGTGAAATATTTACTGTCATTTCATTTCTGTTAGGAAGGTGAATTCTGAATATAGAGCAAAATTTCTGAGCCCAGCCCAGTATTTATATAAAGCTGGGGCTTGGACACGTGTGAAGGAAAACATACCAAATCAGGTGAGTATACAAGCTCAGTAAACCCACATTTTCTTTGATACTACTTCAGTTTAATTTCAGTAGTTTTACCAAGTAGTAGGGACTACAGTTTGAAGATATATGATGTGGTAATAGCACCAGAAGTATCAGTTGGATATTATTTATCAGTGTATTTACTTTTTTTTTTAATACCAACTAGCTCCTTAGAGATTAATTATAAGGTCTTTAAAGTTAAAAATGTTTTTAAAATCAACTATTTATATTAATGAAGTCATTTTATAGAATTGTAGCATTATAGACTTGATTATTTTATAACCTGCAGACCTCCACTCCCAAGTGAAAGAAAGTGAAAGTGAAGTTGCTCAGTCATGTCCAACTCTTTATGACCATGGACTGTAGCCTCCTCCATCCATGGAATTTTCCAGGCTACAGTACTGGAGTGGGTTGCCGTTTCCTTCTCCAGAGGATCTTCCTGACCCAGGGATTGAACCCGGGTCTCCCAAATTGCAGGCAGACGCTTTAGCATCTGAGCTAGCAGGGAAGCCCTCTGTTAAGTGAAGACTGATTAATTTTTCAAGATTAGTTTGTCTGACTGCACCCACTGTTAGCTCCTTATTTTGCAAGATTATCTCTTGGCCTGAGAATTTTTAAAATTAAGATGGGTTGGTAGTTAGGGTTTCAGTCAGTTCAGTAGTTCAATAGGGTCTGACTCTTTGCAACCCCATGGACTGCAGCATGCCAGGCTTCCCTGTCCATCACCAACTCCCAGAGCTTACTCAAAACTCATGTCCATTGAGTCGGTGATACCATCCAACCATCTCATCCTCTGTCGTTCACTTCACCTCCCACCTTCAATCTTTCCCAGCATCAGGGTCTTTTCCAATAAGTCAGTTCTTCGCATCAGGTGGCCAAAGTATTGCAGTTTCAGCTTCACATTCTGTCCTTCCAGTGAATATTCAGGACTGATTTCCTTTGACTGGTTGGATCTCCTTGCAGTACAAGGGACTCTCAAGAGTCTTCTCCAACACCACAGTTCAAAAGCATCAATTCTTCAGCATTCAGCTTTCTTTATGGTCCAACTCTCACATCAATAAATGACTACTGGAAAAACCATAGCTTTGATTACATGGACCTTTGTTGGCAAAGTAATGTCTCTGCTTATTAATATGCTGTCTAGTTTGGCCATAACTTTTCTTCTAAGGAACAAGCACCTTTTAATTTCATAGCTGCAGTCATCTTCTGCAGTGAGTTTGGAGCCTGTCACTGTTTCCACTGTTTTCCCATCTATTTACCATGAAGTGATGGGACCGGATGCCATGATCTTAGTTTTCTGAATGTTGAGGTTTAAGCCAACTTTTTCACTCTCCTCTTTCACTTTCATCAAGAGGCTCTGTAATTCTTCTTCATTTTCTGCCATAAGGGTGGTGTCATCTGCATATCAGGGGTTATTTCCCCTGGCAGTCTTGATTCCAGCTTGTGCTTTATCCAGTCCAGCATTTCTCATGATGTACTCTGTATATAAGTTAATAAGCAGGGTGACAATATACAGCCTTGACGTACTCCTTTCCCGATTTGGAACCAGTCTGTTGTTCCATGTCCAGTTCTAACTGTTCCTTCTTGACCTACATACAGATTTCTCAGGAGTCAGGTAAGGTGGTCTGATATTCCCATCTCTTTAAGAATTTGCCACAGTTTTTTGTGATCCACACAGTCAAAGCCTTTAGCATAGTTAAGGTTTAGATCTAAACATTTAATGGACTCCAAGGATTGTTACATCTGAAGTCATGATAAGGTAACAATCCTTATTCTTGCCCTCATGGAAGAGGACATTTTTATTTTTGTTGTTAATTTAAGATCTTTCTTTAAGAGTTCCTATTTAAGATTTCTCTCTTTAAGATTCCTATGGTAATGTGACTTTTCTGGGGTGTTTGTTTTATTAATTACTACTGGTGGTTGAAAGTGTTTAAATTAGTGGAATAGTTTGCCTAAACTTCATGGTCAAAATCATTCAAAAAGCAAATTGGAGTTAGAATAGAATAAGAATTTTTAGTTATGAGATTAGTGATCACTGATGGTGATAACAGTTTTAGTTAACCAGATCATAGACATTTAATATTTTACTTATATCTTATACACATTTTTTCCCTGGAAGGTACTTTATGTGGCAGCTTGTGATGTGCCAGTAATTAAGGCATCCCCACATTACCCTACTCCTAACACTTCGTGGACTGTTACTCACACTCTTCAAATGCACTTGGACATTGGTGACTGTTTTACTTGAGCATTAACTCACTTGAAGTCATGTTATAGTTTTCTAGTTCATGTGTCATCTTCATTTCCCTCTTTCTTCTTTGAGATATTGTACTTTTTGAATCTATAAATAATCTAGTCACTAGGTATTTTAAACCAAGTCCCAAGTTTATATTCACATAACATTAAGGTAGTTGATTTTTTTGGTCCAGTAGTTGTTTGTTATCTCCAAACTATAACCAGTGGCACTGTCCCTCTTTAAAATGCTCACTTCAAGGGTTGTTTTTTAATAATAACCAGCAATTGCAATTGTTAAGTTCCATCCTCAGATTAACTACTGGATCTGTGTTAAATGCCTTTTTCCCTTGATTTTTAGGTAGTCTTCTTATCACCCCAACTACACTGGTTGAGATCATTTTTTTCTAATGTACTTCCAGAAATTGAACTTTGTTTCAAGATGAAGTGCCACTTTTGAGAGATGTTCTATAATTTGACAGATGTTTAAGGACTTTTAGGTATAAGATGACTCTTCATTTTCAGGGGATGAATTTTGGGAAAAAGAAAATTTTATTCCCCAATTTTCTGAGTTTGAATCATTTAAATTTTAAACAAATTTAGTTGTGTTCTTAATTTAGAAAGAGAAATTCAGAAAGGAAGACATTTTATTTATAGCATTTATGTCATGTAATCTGATTGTATCACTTGACCTGGGAAGGGGTGTGTATATTGCTTTAATTGTTTGGCCTGGCTTATTCATATCTTTTTTAGTGACTCTGGTTTTTGGCTGTGGGAATTGTTTTTAACACTGAGTTCAAACAATTGATTTTTTTACGCTTTCTAGCAGAACAAACACCTTACTTTGACAATATCAGCCTCCTATTTTTTCATATTAATTTAGGATTGCAGAAGTTTAAAAGTATGTATTTGCAAAATATTGCAACATTAGCATGAAGATTATTAACAGATTGCTGATAAAGTCAGTTTAAAGCATTGAGTTTTAAATGTCAGTAACAGACAAAGCTGAATAAAGTTTTTACAGAATTTCTGTATCTCCACTCCCTTCTTTAAAAAGAAGCAGTGTAAAATAAAACTGGGTCATTGTGTACATGGAGGGGATGTTCGTCCATCCTCTCATTGATCAGTCAGTGATGTCCTTCCCCGTGCATAGAACGCAGCCTTCTCCCTGGCTCCTTCTTGCTCGACCCTCACTCAGCGCAGGACTGGTAGGACCCCTTGTGAAGCCCTCCTCCAGTTTATATCTTATTTGTTTATTATGGCACAGATCATACCAGTGTTAGGATAGTGATTTGTCACATGGGCGGAAGCTGGCCTCCTCTGCCCGATTGTGAGTTCACTCAGTGCAGGCCCTTTCTTGCTTAGCTTTGCGCCAGCCATTAGTCCACACTCAGGACAGGCTGTGGAATCAGTGTTGAAAGGCTGCATTCTCCCTTACCTCAAGGGATTTGTAGGTTAGCAGGGGAGAATGACACAAGCAATAATTTCAGAAAAATGAAGTAAGTGGTAGTGAGGATATGCACGAAGAGCTTTGAGAGCGCAGAGGAGGAAGTGATCCTAAGACGTGAAGATTTTATCATGCAGATGGTGGGGTGACCATGATACATTTGAAATGTGCAAGGACTTACTAGGAATAAAATCTGGATTCTATCAAGGCACTTTATTACAAGGTTCCTGTGCATTCAGAATACCCTGATTATGAGTTCAGACTCAATCCGTGTGTCTCAATTCTACCTGTTAAATGAAAAAAAAAAGTTAACTAGCAATTTTCTGCACGTTAAAAAACAAGGTAAATGAATATGGCTCAATTTTTTTTTGACAGTGAAGAAAACAATATTTTGAATTATCCTTTGGGAATGTTTCAGGTTTGGTTCATTAGAGCAATAGGATTCTATTGGGATTTTGTGGGGTTTTTTGCCCTGGCAGGTGCTGTCCTTTGCTTTGGCTGACTCATTAGATGTAGCACTTGCTTCCCTCTGCATCAGTAGCATCCTTACGGAGCTGAGGATGTGTTTGCTCCAGCTGCTTTCACGGTGCTCATTTCATTATGTGCTTTTTTGTTTTCAAGTGAGAGAAGAGCAGCTTTAGCAGACAGTATTCAGATAGCCTTTTCAGGCTAATACTCTGTCTTTATGATAGGAAAAAATTACACAGTTTTTTTTTTGAGAGTAAATCAAACAGATTATTGAGAACTATTTTAAGCTGTAACTTAGTTTTTTTACATTGTGGAATTGTATTTAAGAAAGCCAGAAGGTGGCAGTATAATGTATAAAATGAAAGAGTTTCAGTGAGTATAACACTCCTTTTCATGTGAAAATATATTTTTTGCGTATGAAGGAATTAATATGTGAGTCACCTTATATATATAGTTCATCAGAATATTTTTGGGGGGTATCCTGTTACTTTGCTGAATTTATTACATCTATCATTGTGATAGTCTTTTAAATTATGTATTTAATACTGGTTTGGCTGATTACAAGGGAATGTTGAGGAATTTGGAGGGGGAAGTCAAGAGACTGTCTCAGTGGCGCTTCTGTGGTAGTAGCCACTGTATATAAGCCAAGCAGTAAAGACTGAGGCTGGGGCTTCCTGGCATGTCAGTACTCTTCCAGAGGTGGGGCAATAGTCGTTAGGTTACCCTGTGGTGGACAGCATTCCACTCCCGCAAGAATGTTGTTGGTTTTCAGGGCATTGTTAAAGTATCTTGGTTACCAAATTAAATGTTGTTAAAAGTACTATAAAAAATATTGATTGACAAGTTTTTGGTATATATTTAGAAGGAAGAATAATAAGATATTTCACTGGTTCCCGTTAATATTCAGTTATGGCATTAACCTGTCATTAAGTATGTTTCTGTGTTCCTCCTCTAGGCTTCTGTAAATGCCATGTGGTATGCGGAGGTTGGTCGCTTTCATGTTTTTAAAAATTGTAATAATTCATAGAGTACTTGTGTAATTTCAATTGAAGAAAGAAGTAGGTGTCAGTGTTTTTCTTAGCTGCTGCAAATTTCTCCCTGCCTGCTGGCCTGAAATAAAATAATTGCATTGTGCTTAAGCTTGACTCTTTTAATTTCTGCTTAAAAATGCATAGTATTATGAATGTATGTGGCTATTTTTGCCTTTCTTTCTCCTTGGTCTCTGGCTGTATTTGTGCAGTGTCTTGGATATTCTACCTGGTGGTATTTGCAAGGAGCATTTAAAATAATACATGGTATCTCAACTGTCCTGCATAGGTTAAAGAACTCCGAGAGAAGGCTGAGTTTTATAGGAAACGAGTTCAGGGAACCCATTTTTCTCGGGACCATCTAAATCAGATTCTGTCTGAAAGCAACCGCTGTTGGGATGTCTCCTCAACTACGAGCTCAGAAGGAACCATTAGCAGCAATATCAGAGCTCTAGATCTTGCTGGGTGAGATGTTCTTAGTGGATGGTGAAAAAGTATGTTATAGAGTAATGTGGGTCATAGAATTATGAAGACTCAAAGTTTGGATAGTCAAATGGAAATGTATCAGCCACTTAATACTTTTAGTTTATTTTTTGTGAAAAGTAAAGCTATACATACTTGCTTTACACACTTGTGTAGAAATAATGCATAATTTAAATCTGGAAGTTTGGATTTTATCATATTCCTTGTTAGCAATTAAGAGTAAAATGGGGATGACTAGCAGTAGACATAAAACTTTATAAAGTAAAACAAAAAGGCAACAATAATAAAAACTTAGAGAATATTAGCTATTAGTATGTATCCATTATCATTCAATATTGAACTTTGGCCCTGATTCTATGGAACAATTCTATTTTAGGTTTTATAGTGAACACAAACTATTAAGAGGAATAGCACATTGATTTGTATCAAATAAAACAGTTTTGTTTTCATAGAGTAATAGTATGATCATACATACCAAATTGAACTGTAAATTCTAACTATGTGACATCTGATTTTAAAAGTCCATGAAATTTGTTCTTTAACAGTGACTCAAAAAGATTAACCTAATCTAAAATACAAAATTTGAATTAGCTTATTTGATCTATAAGTACGCACAAGTTTGTGCACAAACCCTAATTGAGTAACAGAACAAGTTAAACTATTTAGGGTGTCCTATTTATGTGTGCAATTATCAGTTGAGAAGTACATAGGAGTTTTGTCAGCAGTAGTACAGGCATATATGTGTCATGGTAGGAGTAAAAGGACATAAATTTATTTTGTCCAATTTATTTTGGAATATTTTGATAGATTATAACTTTTAAGTTCTATAAAATGAACTCTTAGTTTGATTTTTTTCTTCAATATCTGGGCAAAGCAATATCATTGGGAAACATAGTTGTGAACCATGGAAGGGAATGATGGACTTAATAAGTATCAATTAGAAACCTCAAACTACTAAATTTAAAATAAAACTTATTTTGTTATGCAGAGATCCTACAAGCCATAAGACTTTACAGAAATGTCCTTCTACACAGCTAGAAGAAAAAAGACCTATCTTGGAAGAACAGCCCCAGAAAACTACCACAGAGAAATTGGGTGTGTCAAATGCTCCCATACCTGTTAGAAGGCGTCTGGCTTGGGACGCTGAGGACACCCCTGAAGACATACAGAAACAGCCGAGAGAGGAGGAGGAAGAGGAGGAAAGGGACAGGCAGGTTAATGTGGAAGAGCTGGAGAAGTTGGAAGTACAGGAAGAATCTAAAGCAGACAAGATAAAGGAGGAGTAAGTGTTTTAAATTAATCAGTATGTAGACGCATTATTGTTCACAGATAATAAGTATTTCATTTTGTCACTGATAGTGGTTTACATTTTTGGTTTCATGACTAATAAAAAGCAGATTTTACTTTAATGTCATGAAATAGGCACTTCTATATGGTTTATATAATTTGATTCACTCAGGGATTTGAGTCACCACTAATTGGGAATTAAACACTTGAACACTGAATTACTTGGGGAGGAAGTAGTTAGTGTTCTTTTTATTTATATTCTGCTAATTATGATTTTCAAGATATGATTAGCCAGATATCTCTGAAAGAATGACTTCCTTTATGACTTGAGGAAAAATAACTAATATTCTTTACTATCAGATGGTTATACCAAAAAAATAAGTTTTATAATGTTAAAATAAGCAATTTCTGCAAATAACTAATTTCTGTTGATTTATATGCATATTGTTTTGGGGAGTGGTTCTCTACCATTGGTTAGAGTGTTTTTTGTCCATAGTCCAACCCCCTTATTATTCATTCACGAGTTTTGCAGCTAATGGAACCTAGGCTATGATTCTGGGGAAGAATTCTCCAGTGTGTTGCTGACTTGCAGTGATCTCTCCTCTTTTCCAGTAGTCCGCTTCTCTTAACTGCATGTGGATTTGTTTCTTATTTTTTCAGAAGCAAAATGGCCTTCTCCTACAGGTCTATGCTTTAATTGCATAATGATGGCAAAGTATTTTTTTTTTATCATATTTTCTAGAGGACATGCTTCATAATTGTCTTAATTTGCAGGTCGGAGTCATCTTCTATGTCTTCAGGGAAAGGAGGCAGGCTTCCTACTCCAAAGCTGAGAGAACTGGGTGGAATCCAGAGGACTCATCATGATCTTACCACTCCAGCTGTTGGTAATAGGCGGATACCGTACAGTTCTTATTTCACCTGCTTCCTCTATCTGATAATTTAGTTTAAATTGAAACAGTGGCATCTTCTGTATTTTTCCAGGTGGTGCAGTTTTAGTGTCTCCATCTAAAGTGAAGCCTCCAGTCATAGAACAGAGGAAAAGAATATCCTCTCAGGATGGCTTAGAAACTTTGAAGGATGACTTTAGAAAGGTAAATATTTACACTTTGGAGAAAAACATCTCTTCAGGAAGTGATTTAGTGACATGCAATAAATACATGAGAGGTTCAGATTTTAGAAAATTCTGTCTGTCATATATGGAGATGATGTTATTAACCTACTTTCAGAATGCAAAGGCATTGAATTGTTTTTGGGGGTAATGCCATTGTATTTTGACTGCATACTTTCAAATATTGTCAGTAGTGACAACAGAGAGAGAAGAAAAACAATACTATTGATTGTGCATCTACTCTGGCCGTTTTGTCCAGGCACTGATTTAACTGGAGATGTAGCAGTGAAAGATGCAGGTAGAAATCCTGTCCCTCACTGAATTCATGTTCTAGAGGAGGAGGGAGACAATAAACAGGATAATTAGGTAAAATACACAGTATTTTAGATAGTGATAAGGGCTAAGGAGAAGAATAAAGCAGAGGAAGTGAGTGGGAATTGGCCAGGGACGTTCTCACTGAGAGGGTGGCATTTGAGCAGAATCTGAAGCAGGTAAGGGACTGACCCATATTCATATCTAGGAAGGCATTTTTACAAAAAGCAGCAGGTGCAAAGTCCTCCAGTTGAGAAGGTGCCTGATTCCTTGAGGAACAGGCAGGGAGTCAGCATGGCTGGAGCTGAGAGCAAGAGAGTAGAATGGGCAGTGAGGTCAGAGGCATAATGAAGGATTAAACTATGTAGGGCCTTAGAGGTCATAGCAAAGACTTTGCATTTTATTCTGAAGGAAATGCAAAGTCTTTGGAGGAGCAGAGGAATGGTATGATTTGACTTAGGTTTTTCCAAGGTCATTCTGGCTGCTGTATTGGGAATGGACAATAGAGGTGCAAGAGCAAGTAATTGAAACTAGTTAGTCAATTACAGTATCCAGGAAAGAGGTAACAATCATTTGGATCATAATGGTAGCCATACCAGGAGCTAAGTTTTTTTCCCCATTGTTTACCTCTCGGTTACTGGTAGGCAGAAGAGTCATTAAACTTTGTGTACATAATCATTTTCTGCCCTTTGTTTTCTTAAAAAAGCTGCTATCATAACATTAAATCCATGTCATTCAATTATCAATAAATTGATATTGACAATTCATTTAGCAATTGAATTAGCAATGCATTCAGTTAGCAGTAAATTATCCCTGTTATTCAGTTGCCATTGTTTAATATCATTCTATCTTTTTTACCATAGGAGTTAACAAGAATTACTATCAATATCTAGAAATATATTTTGCTGGTAACTTTTAATGACATACCTTGAATTGTAGAGTATTATGGGGCAGCAGCAATTTGGGAAACTTACGTGGAGATGATCATAATAGCTAGCATTTACTGAACAGTTACTATGTTCTAGGCTCTGTGCTAAGCACTTTACATGTATTAATTTGTTCAGTCTTCATAATGACTCTGTGAGGTAGATATTGTTAATATTCTCATTTAGGTGAAACTGAGGACATGCAGCTGCCAACCAGTGAAGCAGAATTTGTCCCCAGGCAGTCTCTTCTCAGGGCCCACATTTTTAACCCTTAAACAGCACTGTCTCATAAAACTTGAGAGTAAAATTTTCATGGTATTGGTTTGTCAAGTACCATCTGTACATTTTATAAATGATATTAAAAACCCAAGTGTTTGTTAGCTCACTTCATTCAGCAGATGTTTCTTATCCATTTACATACATGCTAGATTATGTGCTTGTGATAATAAGCGAAAGTAGACATAGTACATTGGGCTTCCCATGTAGCTCAGCTGGTAAAGAATCCGCCTGCAATGCAGGAGACCCTGGTTCAATTCCTGGGTTGGGAAGATCCGCTGGAGAAGGGACAGGCTCCCCACTCCAGTATTCTTGGGCTTCCCTGGTGGCTCAGATGGTAAAGAATCTGCCTGCAATGCAGGAGGCCTGGGTTCAATCCCTGGGGTGGGAAGATCCCCTGGAGAAGGAAAAGACTACCCACTCCAGTGTTCTGGCCTGGAGAATTTTATGGACTGTATAGTTCATGGGGTTGAAAAGAGTCGACACGACTGAGTCACTTTCTCTTTCAGACATGGTACATGATTTTACTGAACCTACAGTCCTATGAGAATCATACCCCGCAAAAGTAAAATTAAAACTAGTAATTGTTTCAGAGAAGTATATACTGCTATTCTGGAGGAAATTGACCCGGTAATGGAGATCAGGAAGCTTCTTGAAAGTCAAGGATGCTTCTTTGAGGAAGTCATAATTGAGTTGAGATGCAGAGGAAGAAGAGCTAACTTGTAGAGAGTGGGGAAGAGGACAGCGTATGCTAAGATCTTGTGGGGAGGAAGGACGTAGGGTTTAAGAAACAAAAGCCAGTCCTGTGTGTGGCAGGAAGCAGATGCAGGATGAGTTTGGGAAAGAGAGCAATACTGAGAATTTCTTTCATCTCAAGTAAAATAGAAAGCCATTGAAATATTTTAAATATGGGAGTGTTGTGACTGACTCATATTTTGCAAGATCTTTTTGGCTGCCATGGAAGGCAAGAATAGACTATGGATACCTCTGAAAGCCCATTGCAATAGTCCAGGTAGGAGCTGTGATAGCTTGGACTAAGAAGGTGGGCACTGACATGAGTGAAATTAAAGCATTGTGTGAGGGGAACAACATCAAGGCCTGGTTCTGGGTTGGATAATGTCTCCTAGGTTTCTGACTTAATCAGCAGGATTGATGGAAAGTGCCATGTTCTGAGTAAGAGAACTCTGCACCACAGCCATCTTTGGAGGAGAATATCAGGAGTTTCGTTTTCGTTCATTAGGTTCACAATTTACTGTGCTTTTACAATGTGCCAAGCACTGTTTGGGGATTCATTGGTAATCAAGATAAAATCTCTGCCGTCATGAAACTTACATTTTCACTGGCAGAATAGACAAATGATTTTTTTTTTAAAGAATTTCAGATAACAGTGAGCACTGTGAATTAAATAAAACTGCAGACAACCTCCAAGGGGTGGGTGAGACAGTTTTTAAGTCATCAGAACAGGCACCTCTGAGGAGGTGACATTTTAACAAGACCTGGCTAATGAGGGAGGTGCCCAGTGCAGAGACATGGGCCAGAGATTGTTTTCCAGACAGAAAGAACAACAAGGGCACGTGTACAACAGTGACAGTTTCATAGAGTGAAAAGGCCTGTGGAGCCTGGAGGAAGGAGGCAAAGGAGAGGTGGGGACTGAAAGTGGGAAGGGAGGCTGGGTAAGGAGTGGGCTGTTACTCTAATGTCAGTGGGAAGCCCTTGGGGGAATTCAAGCTATTAAACAAGTGTAAGTCTCTGATACACTTGATAAAGAGAATCAGTGGCTCCTCAGTGGAGAGCACATTTTATTGGGGAGAGTAGGAGCAGTGAGACCAGTAAGGAGGTTTTCAGTTCAAGAGCAGGTCATGAAATCAGTTAAGTTAAACCTGGGAACCCCATGTACCACAAGTATTCTACAAATTTAATTCAGGTTTTAATAATAATAAAACCAATTTGACAGAAATTCCGAATTCTGTATATATATGTACAAAAAGAAAAAAATCAATTTTCATAAGACATCTTCATAATTAAAAAGGGAAGCAAGTGGAAGATTTGTATTTTTTATCTTATTAATAGATCTTGATTTTTAAAAATTTGTTTTTTTGGGTGAGACCTCAGGCTATCTCCTCTTTGAAGCAATAAGCCAAGCCTTCTAATTGCAGAAAATGATGCTTAAGATCAGAAAGTAGTGTTTTGAACATTGCATTGATAAACTCAAAGTTAATAACTAAAGGCAACAATTACAAGGAATAATCAGGAAAACTTGGAGCTATATTTGATTTTACTGGTTTATATTATCCTAAAAGTGAAGTTATACAGGGATTTTGACCCTCGTGATACATAATCATTGTGGAAAAACAGAAAATACTGACCAAAAAAGTTAAAAAGTCATTACCTACTGTAGAAAAATCCATTGTTGAGTTTGAGTTACTTAGATATAAAGTGTATTTGTTTATTTGTAGATAAGTTTTCATAATACATTTTTCCTCACCTAGCAATGTATTATAAATGTACTCCCATGTCATTAATTTATAATTTGATTTTTAATTGTGATATGATATCTGTAGTTATACTAAGGCTAGATGCTTATTGTTGAAACACTTTTTAAAACTAGATGCCTATTGTTATATCTTAATTTTCCTGTTTTGAAAAGATGCTGTAAAGAAATCATCCATCCTTTACCTACATTTTTGTTCTTATTGTTGTTACCTCTTTTTATGTAAATACTCCTTAAGTATTAATTTTGTGGTCAGAGAACCACAGTATTAAGACTTTTGCTGTGATTTACCAGCTTCCCTGTAAGGTTGTACTACCAGAAACACCAATGAGAGTGCCAGTTTTCCTACATCTTTGTCAGTTCAGGGCATTACAGTTTGTTTCTTAAAATTTATTTTTATAATTTGTTAAGTGAAAAGTTAGTACTTACATGAATACTTGTATTTTGAAATTATTTGATGAGTGAGGTATAGAATGCTTGCTATTTGTAGTTTGTATATGAACTGTTGATATATATCCTTATTTTACCTTTAAATTAGGTTTATCTTGCTACTTTTAAAGAAATATTTATGTAACAATGGTAAATTCATTGTCAATCCAATAAGTTGTGTATTTTCCCCAAGTTTGTCTTTTTTCTTTTTTTAAAAAATATTTACATATTGTTTTTATTTAGCTAAATATCTTTATATTGGTTGTTAGTCTTATAAAATCTTCCCCACATGAAGGTTTCATAAAATTTCCCCATGTTTTTACCTATTTCATTTATGGTTATTTGTGTATTTAAATGTTTGTTTTATTTATATATGAGTACCCACATATATGCTTTTTTTTTTGTCATTTAGAAAGAAAGTCGTGCTATATCCCTCCTGACTTCTCCAGCTGCTGGTATTAAAACAGTTGATCCCTTGCCTTTGAGGGAAGATTCTGAACCCAATATCCCCAAATTTGGTGAGACAACTCTTCCAGTTTCAAAAATGCTAGAATACCCACCTAACACACCTGGGAAGTCTGCTTCTCCACCCTGCGCCCCATCCTACTGGCATCCTTCTCGTCGAATTCAGGGCTCCCTGAGAGATCCAGAATTCCAGCATAATGGTAATTACTTAGGTTTTACTTTTTTGTCTATTAAAATGAATGTGCTATACTGATAGATACAGAGGCTGTAAGTGTACCATGTTATTTAGTTTTAGTTAACACAATAGATTTCTTTAAAAAGAAAAAAAAGCCTCATCTTTGACACACTCAAGTTGTGCTGTGCCCAAGTTCACTTTGGTCTAAGTGTGAGATGTCTCACGTTCTTTTCCAAAAATGTGTAGGCAACCCATTAGATGCCATAGCACCTTTTCCCCAGGTATGACAACCAAAGATGTCTTCAGACGTAACAGATGTTACCTGGATGTAGAATTCAAGTCATAAAATATTTCCCTTCAGTTTTATTAGCTATCGCTCTGCTCTTTTTTAACGTCCATTAGTATTGTTGAGAAATCTGATGCACTTTTTATTTTTGATCTTTTGTGTGTGACCTTTTTTTTCCCCTGACAGTTCTTAGCATCTTCTCTTTATACCTAGTGCTCTGAAATTTTATGGTGGGTCCCTTTTCATTCATTTTGCTAGTACTCAGTAGAGCTCTTCAATCTGAAAAGTCATGTTCCTCAGTTCTGGGAAACTTTCTTAAATTATTTAGTCATTAATTTCTTCCCCTCCAGTCTCTCTTGCTCCCTTCTGGCACTGTTATTTTTCAGATCTTGGACATGTTGCAGATGCTATTTTCTTATCTTAGCTGTTATATTTTCCATCTCTCCCTTTTTGTTTTAATTTGAAAGGGTTACTAATTTTTATCTTCTACTTGAGTTTTAAAATATGTTGCTGCATTTTTAATTTCTAAGTTTTTTTAAACATTGCATACTCCTTTTATATAAGCATTCTGTTACTATTTCATGGATAGCATGTTTTACCTGGTTGAGGAGATAAATGATACATACATATAATGCCCCGATTTGGAATATGGTTTCTCCTTTTCCCAGTTGAATCTGGTGTCTTTCAGTCAAAGTAGCTGTGATAAACCTTCTTTAGCAATAAGACCTCAATTCCTCTTTTGGGAGATGGGCAGTTACCCTGCTGTGTGAAATGAAAGATGGATCTGGTAGACTCTTTTGTAGAAAGACAATTAGATTCCTGATTCAGTTTTCCCTTCACTTCAACTTTCAGTGGTACTCAGTACTCCCAACCACCCAGCCATCAGGGGAGCAAATCAATTGCTTCTTGGTTTCCCTTCTCTGCTGCCTTAGGATTTAGCTCCATTGGCTATGATAACCACACACTCACTGCCTTCCATTTGCTTTCCACTTTTCAAACTTTTGTTTCTGTTTTCTTGTTTCCCATTTTCTTTGTCCTAGGTTTATATTGCTTTTGTAGGTGTGTATAGTCCAACTGTCATCTTTAAAGAGAAGCTTATTGTATTTCTTTCAAGTTAGATTAGTATTGTCATTGAGAAGAATCCTAGGAGGTTATCCCTTGTTTGTTTACATATTTGCTAAGCATATTATGAATTAATGAATGGCCCTTTGGAGGAATTTCTATTAAAGGTATAAAGTTAAGCTTTTTGACAGTCTACCTTCTCTTCAAGTTGACTGTAAGATAAATTGTTGGGTGGCTTTGAAGGATAATTTCTTATGGCTTTTTTTTTTTTTAATTTTAAGTGGGAAAATCAAGGATGAACAATTTCCAGTTACCTCAGCATGAAGCCTTTAATGATGAAGGTATTTCAATAGTCAAATAACACAGATAAAAGTATATTTTATTAGATAGTAGTTTATAATAGTATAATGATTTTACATTCAGTTAGCACTTTATAGTTTACAGAGTACTTCCATAGATGTCTTTTCGTTAGATCCTTAAAACTCTGTGAAGGGGGTAAACTATCCCCATTTTACTCGTGAGTAAACTAGGCGCTAAGCCTTGAAGAGTCTGTTTTAAAGCAAATGGATGGCAAGAGATGCATCACACCCATGATCAGTACTCTGTTTTCCACCCCGGCTGGCTGGTGGCTCAGGAATTCGGCCTAGCATTACATCCATCATTTTCTTCAAATGTCTGTATATTCTCAAAAAATACATGATTAGGGAAAATGAGTGTTTTTCTCTTGTGTGGTTTTTATTCTGAAAAATTCGGTTACTTCTAATGGTGGCAGGAGGAATTTTGAATTCTTGATGTTGAACATTTGAAATTACTATTTTAATGCAACCTAAGAGGTATAAAATTACTGTTTATAAATTTTGAATTTGAAAGTAAATTTGAATACTTTATGTATTATGGCTTCACACACATTGAAGGTTCTTTCCTCTTAGCAAGTTTGAGACTCCTTTCAGAATTCATTGAGCTAGAAATCAAGTTGTTATGTTTTGAAATGCCAATATCTGGACACTGAATCCTGTCTTGTTTTCTTTTTAATGGAAGAACAGTGTTTACAAATAACTTGATAATTGATTTGCTTACTCAGAATGAGGAATTTCAGTAATAATGAAGGGTAGCATATTAAAGTCAGACATCATTTCTATATTAAGTGAAATGACTTTAGAAATATGATGTGGGTACCATGTGAAGGTATGGCATTTTGTTTTTAAAATGTGAAGGTTTCTTTTCCTCAAACAGCTGTGCTTTTTAAAGTAGGACAAGACAGTATGATGATGAATTGTTTCCAGGTAATACCACAGTCCATATGTTTGTGTAATGACATAGTGGGATTTCAGGAAAAAAACAGAATGCTCATTTAATACAGAAATGTTTGATTTCTAAATGATACACTTGGAAAATTACTGTGAACGATCCAAAAAACACTAATCTTATATTTTAATAGATTATGTGTTTCTGATAGTCAGTATTGACATCACAGAGCTTGATGCTTTTAATTTTCTCTTGATGTTTTGAAACATAGTGTTTTTATGAGCTTTTTTGCACTGAATGTAATTCTTTCCTTGCAGATGAGGACAGGTTCTCAGAAATCTCTGCTCGCTCTGCGGCCTCTAGTCTCCAGGCTTCTCAAACTCTGGCACGAGCTCGGAAAAGGAAGGAGAGTTTCTGGGGCAAAACATAACTAGGCAGACACCTAGTTGGGTTGCTATTATCTAGGGGAACCATTGGCATACTTTTTCATTATTGCTTTACTATGTTAAGACTTCAAATATTTGGATTTTTTGCTAACATTTCCCACTTAAAAAGAATTATGTTTTTTTTTTCCAATACTCAGTTCAATCTACTGGAAAATTTTTAACATAGGTTCATGAAATTTTAACTTTTGAAGGATTCTTTTTGCATCTGTTCCCAAAGTATAAAGACATAGATTATATAGTTCTTCATATGTTCTAACTTGTATAAAGTGTCAGGGCTAGCTGGTAGAATTGTGAATTTCCCCTATCCAGAGAATATTATTAAATATGAATAAAGTAAAGTAAAAGTTAAGATTTAAGTGTAAAGTATAGATTACCTGAAGATTGGCTTTATGTATCTTTACAATTGTAGATGTCATAAAATGAATTTGTTGTTCCTTTAACCTTTGCTGTGGTGTTTATTTTAGTACCTTCTGTTTGTGGTTACAGTGTTAAAATAATTGTACTTCAGATTGAAAATACTACCTTTTGTATATACTTTTCTTATTTATGTAACAAAGTTTGCTGAGAGAATATGTATATTTTTGATCTTTGTGTGTATTCTGTTTGTATAAGGACTTTGGCTTACATTTGAATAATGTCTGAATTTTGAAAAATTTGTATAATGGAAAATTAAAACTTTGTAGATATTTTGAAATAAAACGATCAACTGTTTCAGTTCTGTTTGTTTCAAGCGTTTCAAGGGTTTGGCTTCTCTAGAGAGTTATTACATGGAACAAATGATTATCTTTTAAAAACATTTTACTCACAACAGCTTAAGCACATCATAGTTCTTTTGCATTTATCCAAATGCAGTAAAACTGAGTCCTCAATACTTTTGCACAAATAGGAAAAAATGTAGAATTTCCAAGGCAGACTCAGTTTTTAAAAATTTGACACAAACTTTTTGATTATACTTTTTTACTCTTAGGACATGTTCTGTTGTCTACTCTTTATCTTGCAAATCATGATAAACTTAATTTTCTAAAAAATATGGATTTCATAAAATATAATACATAAAATATTTACATAAATATTTACAATAGATAGAAGTTACTGAAGATAATACACAGAATATTGATGCCTGCTGGTTAGAAAACAAATGTATAGTCTGTTCTAAAGTGCTTAATTTGGTCAAGAGTGCTTGTGCAAATCACTGGTTCACAATAAGGGCCTTAAAGATCTTATGTTATCATGAGGTTATAAAGAACTGTAGGCATACAAACTATTTGCTTACATTCCACAGACCTTTTAAAACTGTTGATTTAAAAAGTTACTAAGCCCCAGCAATCTCACTACTGGGCATATACCCTGAGAAAATCAAAATTCAAAAAGACTCATGCACAATTATGTATAATAAACTGCAGTTATTAAAAATTTTACAGTTCTTCCCTGGTGGTCCAGTGGTTAAGACTTTGTCTACCAGTGCAGGAGGTGCAGGTTTGATCCTTGGTTGGGGAGCTGAGATCCTACATGCCTTGTGGCCCAAAAACCGAAAACATAAAACAGAAACTGTAAAAAATTCAAAACAGACTTTAAAAGTGGTCCACATAAAAAAATCTTTAAAAAAAATATATAAAAATTTTACAGCTCAGTGAGTTTGGAAAGAATGTATACATCTGTGAAACCAACACCACGACCAAGATACACTGCATTTCCGTCATCAAAAGTTTCCCCATTTCACTTTGCAGTTCAATCCATCCCCCCCCACCCCAGTCCTCAGGGAAATCACTAATCTGCTTCCTGTCAGTATTAGTTTATAATAATTTTATATACATGGAACCATCTTTTTTATCTGGCTTTCACTCAGCATGTTTTTGAAAGTCATCTATGTGTTGGGCACCTATATTCCCTTTTAATCCACTCACTCACGGTGGACTTTTGGGTTATTTGCAGCTTGGGACTATAATGAATAAGTAAAATCTATTGTACAAATCTTTGTATAGATATAAACTTTCATTTCTCTGGAAAATCCTAGGCAATTCAATTTTTTAAATCTTTAATATAACTTCAAGTATACGGTATACCCTATTATAAACTGGTGATTTGTTTTTTTGTTGTTGAAATTGGTATCTCAAACTAGACAGGGGAACAAACATCAGGATCACAGTGGAAGTAGCACGCCAATTGCCTCTGTTCTTTGCCCCTGTCTTCACCCCAGATGCTGAGATGCTCATGTGTCCCTGGTTGAGAACTCAGATAAAAATGCACATACATATAATTCAAATTTTGTATACATGTATGGGAATGAATATTCACATCGGATCTCATCTCCATCTCTGTGGGAGTCTGAACTCCAAGTTAAGAATTCTTTAAGGATGATTTTGAGGATTAAGGGTAAAACACATGATAAACATGCTTAGTGGGGCTTCCCAGGTGGCTCAGTGGTAAAGAATCTGCCTGCCGAGCAGGAGCCCTGGGTTTGATCTCTGGGTTGGGAGGATCCCATGGAGGAGGAGATGGCAATCCACTCCAGTATTCTTGCCTGAGAAATCCCATGGAGAGAGGAGCTTGGTGAGCTATAGTCCATGGGGTCACAAAAAGTTGGACATGACTTAGTGACTAAACAGTAACAACAACAAAACATGCTTAGTACTTGGTGGAATATGTTACCTTGAGATTTAAGTACACATATTATCATTTTACAGATGGGAAAACCCTCTTAACTGACTGGACTAAGACCTGATACCTGGTGGGTTCGATCTAGGTCTTATTCAATCTATCCACACTGCCTACTCTGGAGTGTTTATACTAAAATTGTGAATCCTACTGTGACTCAATTCTCTCTGGTTGATTCATTTGGAATGTTTTTTTTACTTCATTATCTTAGAAGATAAACATTTTTCTTTCTAGTCAAGTAAAAGTATATGGGAAACAAGTTATTGTACTAGTAGAGTCAATCAGCATAAAAGTGAGTTAACATTCAAAACAAATTTGTTCTCATATAAGTAGTGTTGCAGCTGGCTACCCAGGGAGCTCAGGATGGATCATGTACCTTTGTTGCAGTTGCCGACACCCCCAAAATATTTATCACAACTTCTAGAGGTTTACCAAGGGAACAAATATTCTAAAATGGTAAATGATCCTAGAATCATTCATGTTTGGTTTTGAATATGTTTTAGAGCCTTTTACATGTGGTGGCATCAGTCATGATGGCACAGTCTTTGTCAGGCTGCCATCATCGCTCTTTCAAGATGAGTCAGTGGTGCAAAGGCTACCACAGGCAAAAGAACAGTCCCTGTCATTGGATGAGCTAGGGTTGTGCCCTGCCTGAGAAAAGAGCCTGCAGTCATGAAAACAGCAAGCCAGTGGTATCTTCACTAATGGTGATCCTGCGATCTGGGTTGACCTTATGCATCTCTCTCCTATGGTGAGTGGAGGCATAGAAAGCTCCAGCCTTCTTCGTTCCTTTCAGATTCAGAGTCAAACTCTCTTACACTCTGTTTCATATTTCATTCCCACCTGGTCCTACAAGATCCGCTAAAGGTAGCAGCCTCTCTGAAACAGAGGACGGCTCTCCTGCTATAATACACCTGCTATAATGCAGGTGAGAAGAAAGAGTCGTCATCCTAAACATGGCATCCATTCCCTGGTGGTGCAGTAGATAAGAATCTGCCTGTCAATGCAGGGGTCACAGTTTCCATCCTTTGTCCAGGGATGTGGACCTGTCCACATGCTGGGAAGGACCTAAGTTCCACAACTACTGAGCCCACACTTCAGAGCCCGAGAGCTGCAACTACTGAAGCCTGAGTGCCTAGAGCCTGTCCTCCACAAGAGAAGCCTTTGCAATGAGAAGCCTGTGCACCGCAACCAAAAGTGGGCCCTGCTCACAGCAGCTAGAGAAAGCCCACGCAGACAACGAAGACCCAGCATAGCTCTAAATTAACTAAATAAGAATTATTTTTTAAAATGACTATATATAAAAATGGAATCTGCTTCTCTTCCACTAAATGCTCCCCAGGACCATATTGGAGTGTGTTCTTGGCAATTGAGAGATGCATGGGGCCACCTAGGTCCCTTTGGAAGTCAGAGCAGGAAGCTAACAGATATAATGATGTTTGGGGAATTCGAACCACACAACCAATTCCAGCCACATAATGGACAATTTTGATAATTTGGGAAAATTTTAAGTTTCTGACTATGTATTTTACACCCAGTAGTATAGTGAAGCTGACTTTTGGGTCAGTTGCTAAATATTCAGAACTTTTGTGAGCAGGTTGTTAAACCATCAGTAGCTTGAAATTGACCATTTGAAAATGGTGGGCTAGGATTTCCTCCCTATTACCCCCAAAGGCAGTTTATAAACTTACCACAGCAGCCACTACACAAATCTCTGTGTTGGTTTTTTTTTTTCATATTATTTGCCTGATAGAGAAAACAACCCACTTCAGGAAGGAGAAAAGAGCAGCTCAAGATAAGCTGCTATAAGATTTACTAAACCATTCACATCTTCCTTGGCTTATAAAAATAAAGTGGTTTAGTTTCCTTTCTTGGCTGAGGTCTACCTAGAAAATAAAAACAAGCCACAAATAGCAGATTCTAGAATATAAAGGGACACTATCCACGATTCACCCATAGGACCACCCAGAGAAGGGGCCTGGGAATCTGTATATGTCTTCCTCGGGTGATTTTGATATTCAGGTGGTTTGGGAATCACTGGTTTGGGGGTTACAGTGGAATCCCAGCTCAACCTTGAACAAGCTGGTTAAACTCTTTTGAGTCTGCTTCTCATCTACAAGACTTAACAATTAAATGACTTAAAGTCTGTAAGGACATTTCATGTATGTTACACAAATGTCCTTCTGCGACCAAGCAGAAGCCTCTCTCCCCCCAAGTACAAAACCAAGCGGTTAACAATTAGGACAATAGAGTCTACCCACAGCAGCCCCCTAAGCTATTCTGCAGGCAGATCACCCAGGCAAGACATCTGAAGACAGAGTCAGCCAGT